AGACAGGGTCTCACTAAATTGCTGAGGCTGTGGCCTGGAACTCCCAGAGGCCTGGAGTTGCTCTGGTTACAGGCTTGTGAATTCACCATACCCGGTGAATAATTGCTTCTTAAACTAGCTACCTTATCCATTCAGCTTTTTTTWWAATTTGTTCTAATGAGTTATACAAGACAGTAGAATGTATTTTGACACATTGTACACAAATGGAGCACAACTTTTCTAGCTGAACATGGTGTAGGGTCCCATTGGTAGTGTAATCATACATGCACATAGGGTAATAATGTCCCTCTCATTCCACTGTTTCTCATTTTCATTTCTAGAGCTTTTGTTTTAAATGTGCTATATTTGCTTTTGTGATTTCTTTTTTTTTCTAATATATTTTCAAGTTTCTCTTTTATTTCTAAATAGAGTAAGCATAATTGTTTTATAACTCATGTCATATGATTACAATATCTGAAGTCTTGTTTTCTCTTCTSGATATAATTCATGGTGTCTTGTTCCTTGTGTATTTAGATTTTATTATGATTATTTTGAGCTAATAATTTTCCTTAGAAAATGATTTATAGTTCTTTGGTGCCTAGGATGAGAGGACATTTGCCTGGAGTAGATTTGCATTTTTTTTCGGCAAAGTGCTTTGGAGCATTCCACGTTCCTCTGCAGAATTACCTTAAACTCAATTTACAAACTGAGATTTTGTTTGTTTTTTGTTTTTAAAATCAGATTATGGTCTGGGGATATAGCTCAGTTGGTAGACTGCTTGCCTCACATGCACAAGGCCCTCCGTTCAATCCCCAGCACCATACACACACAAATTCAGATTTCAAGTTTTTAAAATTTTTTTTAGTTGTCAGAAAAACTTTATTTTATTTTATTAATATGCAGTGCTGACATCAATATTTATAGAAGCACAATTCATAATAGCTAAATTGTGGAACCAACCTAGATGCCCTTCAGTAGATAAATGGGAAAAAAATGTATATATACACAGTGGAATATTACTCAGCAATAAAAGAGAATAAAATCATGGCATTTGCAGGTAAATGGATGGAGTTGGAGAATATAATGCTAAGTGAAGCTAGCCAATCCCCAAAAAACAAATGTCGAATGTTTTCTCTGATATAAGGAGGCTGATTCATAGTGGGGTAGGGAGGGGGAGCATGGGATGAACTCTAGGTACAGCAGAGAGGTGAGAGGGAAAGGGAGGCAGCATGGGGTTAGAAATGATGGTGGAATGTGATTATCATTATCCAAATGGATCATCATTATCCAAAGTACAGGTGTGAAGACATGAATGGTGTGAATATACTTTGTATACAACCAGAGATATGAAAAATTGTGCTATATATGTATAATATGAATTGTAATGCATTCTGCTGTCATATATAACAAATTAGAATTAAAAAATTTTWAAAAATATGCAGTGCTGAGACTCGAACCTAGTGCCTCACACATGCTAGGCAAGAACTCTACCACTGAGCTATAACCCCCTTCAAGTTTCTTTAAGGACCACTGTGGTTATTAATACCACCATCCTCCATTGGATACCAAGGCAACTTTTCTTGAAGATCCCTGAGAATGCAGAGGGGAGGGAATGTTCCCAGCAGGGAGGATCTCTTAGATTTTGCAGCTCAAGTGGCTCTTTCATCCTTTCCTCTATAAAACAGACAGGTAAGCAAAGTTCATATCTACCCTCCTAAATATGACTGCATTGTTTTGAATACCTCTAGTTTGCTGACTTCATTTAGATTGTGACCTGTTAATTCTTTACTTTCTTTTTGGATTCTTGTATGCTTTTCAGAAGTCATTTCCATTTTCCCATAATTTTTAGTTATTTTAGAAACACCCACCACATCAAAGAAAACAAAATTCTGTTGTTTTTCCAACCCAACCTTTTTATTTTCTTCACAGTTAATAGTTGTCTTTTCTCCCTCCTTAGTTTTCTACCTACCTATCACCAATATGTCTCTGAACCGTCTTATGGTTAGGCAAATTTCTTCTCTATAAGTTGAAATGCAATAGGTACCCTATCAATTTTATTTTCTTAAAGAAATCACTTCCAAACCTTTCTGAACTGCTCTAATTTTGATGAATTGATATCTAGTTCTGCAGTACATTTTGATGTCTACTTTCATCATTGCCCTGGGGGTTTCTTTTGTTTTTCTTTTTTCTTTCTTTCTTTTTTTTTTTTTTTTGTATGGGGCAGGGGGTTAGTGGGGGGATTGAACCCAGGGGTGCCTAACCAATGAGCCACGTTCCCAGCCCTTTTTATATTTTATTAGAGACAGGGTCTCACTGAGTTGCTTTGGGCCTCACTAAGTTGCTGAGGCTGGCTGTGAACTTGGATTCCCTCCTGCCTCAGCCTCCCCAGCAGCTGGGATTACAGCTTTGAGTCACCATGCCTGGCTTGGAGATTTCTTTTGTATCTCTTTTGGATCCTGATTCTTGGATATCTTGCATGTCTCTTTTTTGGTTTGCTAATTTGTCTTGATGTAATAAATCCTCTCCAACCTTTCTGAAAAATAATGCATGGAATATTAATATTTTGAGACATGTTGCATATTTAAAGTAGTCTAGCTTACAATTAAACCATAGTTTGGCTCAGTGTAGGATTCCAGGTTGAAAATAATTTTCCTCAAAAATTTGAAGGCAATTTCTATCATCTTCTAGATCTCAGTATTGATGAGTTGATATGCTTACTGCTATTCTGACTTTTGATCTGTTTCTGCAACTTGACCTTTTTCTCTGTAAGCTTTTAAAATTTTTTCTGTCTTCTTGTGTTCTGAAATTCTATAATGATGTGACTTGGAATGGGATTGATTTGATATGCTGGATACCTAGTTTGCCTTTGGAGATTCATTTCTTCAGGGAAAGACATTTATTATTTTATTTTATTTTTTAGATACTGGGAATTGAACTCAAAAGCACTCTACCACTGACTTACATTCCCAGTCCTTATATATATACATATTTTTAAATTTTGAGATAGGATCTCGCTAAGATACAGGGGCTGGCCTCAAACTTGATATGCTCCTGCCTCAGTCTACAGAGTGGCTGGGATTTCAGGCATGAGTCACCATGGAAGGCTACCAATCTACTTATAAATTACTTATTTCTTCCCTTCAATTCTCTGTTTTCTTTCTGGAATTCTTGTTATTTAGATGTTTAACCTTCTGAACTGATCCTCTAATTTTTATCAATTTTATCTTAAAGTAGAACAAAATTTATTCTCTATGTTCTTTCTCTTGAATTTTTCTCTTATTGTGGTTTTGATATTGAAGCCAGATTTAAAGTTAGGTAGTCAGTGTAGTTAGGTAAATCGGGTCTAATACCVAGTGAAATCTAAAATGGAGGCCATGCTGGGAATGACTCAGGGAAAACAGGACAACTCATGGAATGTTAATGAAGTCCTGAAGAGGCCCTAGGCCAAAGTCCACCTGGAAGAAGTATTAATGAATAGCCCCCAGCAGATTTGGAGATAGCCCATCACCAAGAAGTGATAATGAAGTCCTTCCTGCTCAGACTACTTCTTTGGCCCACCTGTGTCTACCCCTCGGGCCTACCAACCTACATTCCATCACTGAAAGAACTATAAAAAGGGGAGATAACTGCACTTYCACGGATTCCACCTTTTGGGTCCCCTTCTTCCTCCGGGAGAAGTCTTTTCTTCTGTCCTTTAATAAATTTCTAATTTCTACTCTGACCTTGCCTCGGCGTGCTTCTTTGGTGTTATTCTTCAACATCGGGGAGCAAGAACTCGTCACCGGTCAACAGCGGTAACAATATTCAAGAGTTCTTTTTGCTTATCTGAATAGGAGTTACTTTAAAAATAGCTTTTCATTGTTACTTTATAAATTCACTGTATTATTTTTTTCTGAATATATTGATGACATATTTGAACTTTTCTTTTTTATTTTTAGTCTTTTTTTTTTCTCCTTTGCAATATCTGTTTCCTCTAATTTGCTTTTTTCTTTCTTGTTTTCTGGGTTTCTTTCTTGTATATTAAAGACTTTTCTTAAATATCTAGTGACGCTTGGCTGTCTGCTTATGGTTGAGTAAGGACATTAAAAAGCTGTTTGGAAAGTGTGTGAGGGCTGCGGCATAAAAGTCAAGGGCTTAATAGTAGGATTCATTGTCTATTTCATTAAGAAAATCCTCATGAGAGTATCTTTGGGATTTTTCTCCTGGGCTGGTGAGATTCCCTAGAGAAGGTTTTCCAAAGCTATATTCATGCTCTTGTTAATCTTTTTTTAGGAATCCATTTTCTCAGGTTTGCTAAACCAGTTACTATTCCTGTTTGCTTTACAGTTTCCAAAATGTTGTTGCTGTTGTCTCCTTTCCCTCCTTATTCTTGGGGGTTTCTACCTTGTGGCCTGGATAATATTAGGTGCATTCGCCCACACAAAGCCCTAATCCTCACAAATAATGAAGACCCATTATTTCTTTAGGATAATTTTATTGGAGGACAACTGCAGGATCGTGTAGAAAGGTACTGACACAATTATCTGATTGCCCTAGAGTAAGTAATATGGATATATGACAAAAGGTATGGTTTTGTATGGTAACTGTCTTGCAAAAGTATTAAGTAATTTCCAGGGGTGCTCCACACACCCACCCATCCGCCTCAATACTCCGCCCGGCGGGGGCGGGATACATTGCAAGAAAGGTCTGAAAAACTAAGAAAAATGCGCCTGACAGCTGGGCTAGGCCAGAGAAAAATCGCTTAGAAGAACCCAGAGCATAGGCCACGCCTCTCTGAAACTGAGAGAGAGGGTGGGGGTTTAACCTCGCTGATGATTGGTTGATCTCTCTGACCAATCACGGGCAGCAATTGATTTTGCTTATCGCCCGGATCCACCTCCCCGAAGGGTTTGAGGCCACGTTTACAAATGGGACTAGGATACGTAAGAGGGACAGAAAATACAGCCAATGAGAGCTTGCGGCGCTAATGGGCGCGGTGAGGCTGCTGCCAGGTTTAGGGCGGAAGGAGTGTCGGGATAAGAAAGGGAACGAAAGATGGCGGCGGAAACGCTGCTGTCCAGTCTGTTGGGGCTGCTGTTTCTGGGTTTCCTATTACCTGCAAGCCTGACAGGAGGTGTTGGGAGCCTGAACCTGGAAGAACTGAGTGAAATGCGATATGGGATACAGATCCTGCCGTTGCCTGTCTTGGGAGGGCAGGTGAGAAGGCGTAGAAGGGACGAGGGTCCTGGGGAGAAGAGGAAGAGGAGGAAAGGTAGAGGAGAAAGGGCAGCTGCGGAATCTGGGGTAGGAGACTAAAGGAGTCCGGAAGCGTAGGTAGGGCTTTTACGGTGACACCTGGGGATCTCGGGCAGACACATTCCCCCCAGAGACCCAGCATGGGAGGGGTGGGRCTTCCTACTGTCAACCTCAGGTTCCAGTTCCTCAAGAAAACACTGAGACTCCGCCCCAGTGGATAAGTGGGAGTATCCTTCCACCCGCCCCCAACACACACATACCCCAGTACAGCTGGAGGATTTGTCTTCGACTGGGCTCTTCCCCAGGGTCTGAAGAGGGATCTCGTTGTTCTCTCTGATACCAGCCTCTCTTTGCTTCCATGTCCCCCACCCTCCCTTCTTTCCCTGACCCAGGCTTCGGATGTGGTGATTGTTTCTTCTAAGTACAAACAGCGCTATGAGTGTCGCCTGCCAGCTGGAGCTATTCACTTCCAGCGTGAAAGGGAGGAGGAGGCACCTGCCTACCAAGGGCCTGGGATCCCTGAGTTGTTGAGCCCAATGAGAGATGCTCCCTGCCTGCTGAAGGTGAAAGAAATTGGGATGAATGGAACGAGGGCTTGGGAACTAACAGTCCATCTAAGAACAGTGGAGCAGGATCTAGAGGACCTGTAGGAGTTGAGGCTTTTGTTGGACTAGACATAATAATCCAGACAAGAAAGAAGCAAAGACTCTATAACACTTTGCTAAATATAGAAGAGAGGATAAAATATCTCAAACTAGGTTAAGTCAAGATTGAGGTGCCTAAAGAAGGTCAGTGTGGGTAGAACGGGCAGGCCCTTCATTAGAGAAGCCGACATAAGTTACCACTTATCCTATCACCCTGTGCTCCAGTATCCTACTTTATTTTCATCATATCATTCTTCATGATCCAAAGTCATTTTATTAGGTGAATCAGTTTGTTTATTGTTGGTCTGAAAACTAGCACTAATGAGGTCAGGGAATTTATCTTGTCAAAGCTRTATCCCTAGTGGCTAAAACAGTGCAAGAAATGTGGTAGAAGTTCAAGTAATACTTGATTTTAGGGCCTTCTCTGTTTCCCTGGTCTGAATGCTTCTAGGATACCATGACTTCTTTTCTTTATGAGGAGGGGGAAGTATTTRAAAAAATTAAAACAGGAGAAATGGAAAGATTACAGGTGGAAAACAGCCAGATTTTAGAGGTATATCTAAATTGTGGAAAGAAAACAGCTGTCCCTGCTCACTGAGAGTCTTGAAAAATTAGTATGGAAGTAGAGAGAGAGAAATAGATGAGCCAGAAGATTCTAAGAAAAGGGATCTGCACTCTGTCCCCCTGATTTTTCATTTTTTAATTATCAGACCAAGGACTGGTGGACATATGAATTCTGTTATGGACGCCACATCCAGCAGTATCACATGGAAGGTGAATCACTCCTACATTTTCCCTAAGTTCTCAGCACCCTAACATAGAAGGTGACCTACCTCTCCAGTCTCCTTCTCTTCTAGTCTTTTTTTTTCCCATTCATTTTTATCAAGATTTACTAAGGATAAGATCCTTAAACATATGCGGATATTGAACAATTTCTATGCTCTGAAAAACTTGTACAATCGAGGCCTATGTTCACCTGGATGCTCAACACTGTTTCCTGTCCTGTTGAGCACTCACCATGTTATTTTGAGCCTGGTTATGGTTTTTCTGTCCTCTTAAGAGAGAATGACATGGGGCTGGGGATGTGGCTCAGTGGCTCAGTGGTGGAGCACTTGCCTGGCTTGCATGAGGCCCTGGGTTTGATCCCTAGTATTTAAAAAGAGAGAGAGAGAGAGAATAACATACTTCATTGTGGTTTTTCTTGCAGATTCAGAGATCAAAGGTGACGTCCTCTATCTCKGCTACTACCAATCGGCCTTCGACTGGGATGATGAGACAGCCAAGGTGGGAGAAGTGTGGGGTTGGGAGAGAGATGGATCTGACTGCAGACTGACATTTGGGACAAGGGGAGGATTAGCTGACATGTTTCTTGGGGCTTAGTAGCCATCAAGACAAAGTCCCCTAGGGCTTGGATTCTCAAAGTCCCTGTGGGGGCACAGTGCCTTTTTCCACCTTGCTGTCTTTCTTATGTTCCCCCCACCACCTGATGTCTTCTCCAGGCCTCCAAGCAGCATCGGCTGAAACGCTACCACAGCCAGACCTATGGTAACGGATCCAAGTGTGACCTCAATGGAAGGCCCCGGGAGGCTGAGGTTCGGGTGAGTCTTGAGGAAGAGAAGTTTATACTACCTCATTGACAATCCACATTCTAAGGGAGGGAGGTAGTGTTGCATGTTTAATTGAGAATGTCTGTCCTAGAGCCTGAACCCAAAGTTTAAGACTCATTTCCCTGCTAGCTAGATGTCATTGTCTGACTATTCAGAGGTATTTCAAGTCAACATTTTCCAGATCCTCCCCTCCTGTTAGTGTACCCTCATCCACATTCCTCCTTTTTGTCACATAAGCTGTAAACCTGGGTGTCAGTTCTTGACTCTTCCTCTTTCATTGTCCTGCCTTTTCTTTCTTTCTTTCTTTTTTTTTT